GTTGTGTGTGCCTGCAAGAGTCAGGCATGCGGTGCTGACTGTGTGCTTGGGAATTTGGTCCAGAGTCCCCGGGGAGGAACAGCGTAGCCGCAGCGTGGGTTGGCACTTACACAGGATTTTGAAGGTGGGGACGAAAGAGGGTAAAATGGGGACTTCTTTGCTGGGAGGATAATTCAAAAGGGTAAGGGCATAGGGGAGAATTAACCTGATGTGAGGAGGGGAGGTGGGAGGAGGGGCGGTGGAGCCCAGGAGGATGCAGTGTGCCACACTTGCAGTGGAGAGGCCCCGCGGGCTGGGCTGGGGCTCAGTGGTAGAGCGCGCGCCCAGCCCATGAGAGGCACTGGGTTCCATCCTCAGCGCCACATAAAATAAAATTTAAAAAAAAAATACTGTATCCACCTACAACTAAAAAATATTGGGGAGAAAAAAGGCCCAGGGTCCAGTACTGTGCATCTCCCCACTGCCCCTTTGCACCGTGGTCCAAGCTCTCTGGTTCCTCTGCCTCCTCTTCAGTGACATGAGGGTGTCATTTCCCGCTCTAGTGACTTTGCAGATGGGCATAAGGATGGAACAAAACTGCAGAAGTGAGCGCCTTTTAGATAGGAAGGGGCCTGCGGCACCACTGGGCAGTGACATCATCACAGAGCACCTGGCCGGGGCTTGGGGAGAGGGTTGATAGCCAGGAGGACAGCAGGGTTGACGGTGGCTGTGACAGATATTAGTCAAATGGCAGGACCCAGAGACTTTGCAACCTCTTAAACTAGGGGATTTAATTGTGGGTTAGAGCCGAATTTAACTCTTCATTTTGTCTTTCTGACCAGCTAAACATGCAGAGAAATTTAGGGATGGGGAGGGGGCTAGGTATCCAGTTGCTTTACTCTCTCTCTCTCTCTTTTTTTTTTTTTTTTTTTTTTTTTTTGTGCTGGGAATTGAGCCCATGAACACTCAGTCACTGAGCCACATCCCCAGTCCTTTTTATATTTTATTTTGGGACAGGGCTTCAGTAAGTTGCTGAGGCTGGCCTTGAATTCCCAATCCTCCTGCCTCAGCCTCCCAGGCCACTGGGATTACAGACATGTGTCACTGACAAATTGCTCTGCTTTTGTTTTGTAATGTGAATACTCATGCCTTCCCACTTGGGGCAGCTGACCAAAGGACATGGTACACTGCCAACCTTAGGTTCGTTTTGTATGTGAAGTAAGGTTATGTTGACTTACGGCCTTTCTCCTGTGAGTGCTGAGTGCTGTGGGGTCAGACCAGAGAAGACTTGGGCAGGTGGTAACAGCTCAGCCTCAGCAGGTCCAAGTCAAGAGCTTTTGACTTGAGGTTCCCCTTTGATAAGTAGCACAGAGTGTATCTCTCCCATGCCAGAGCAGGACAGCTGGGTCCACGCACTTCAGGAGGATCTAAAGTGGGGCTCCGGTTGGTGGCCGAGCCTTCAGAGCTCAGCTGCCAGCCTCTGGAGCAGGTGGTACTCCTGGTCTCAGCAAAATCACACACTGTCCAGGGATTCTCCAGGCCCAGCCCAGTCTTCCCACATCTTTCAGTCCCTGGCTCTGGAGAGCAGGTAGCCCTCCTGGCTCCAGGAGACAGAGGCCTGGGATACAGATCAGGAGTGTCTGTTCCCTATTCTGTCCTTGCGTCTCACCTGACAGAGGCTAGAGCATGGTGGCTCTGGCCAGCCCTGTCCTTAGAGCATGTGCAGGACGAGGCTGTCTCCTGCAGGGGGCGCCATGCTGTGCTATCCAGAGCCTTGCCCTGCCAGGCTTGGGAGAAAATAAATGTGTGTGGTTTGAAGCCACCCATGGTAGTGATAACTTGTTACAGCAGCCACAGGACCTAATGCAAAAAGTAGGGAAGGCGTTAGAGATGGCTGGACATTGGGGCCTGAGCAACAGGAGTAGGCAGTGCATTTCAGCTGCACAGGGGACATAGAAGGGCAGGTCGCCCTGTCGGGTTGGAGACTTCAGAACATGATAAAAGAGTCGAGGCCAAGTTCTGCCTGCAGCGTCTTGGGAACATGAGCTGCCTTGTGTCCATCAAGACTCTGGCAAGGCTGCCATGGGGACTTTGGTGTGCAGCTAAGCTCACTGACCCGGAAAGAGAGATTTTTGAGTGGCCCCATTTGCACCCTCCCGGGTCTGTCATGAACTTCATTCCCAGAGATCAGTTTGAGGATTTCATTGGAAATCAGAGTTGGGTTTTTATTTGTTTCTTAAGAAAAACATTTGTCTGCAGTGACTGGCGTCCCTGCCTCCTGGAATGATTCGGGCGACAAGAGTCCTTGAACAGAGGCTGAGTTTGAACTGATCAATGGCATTTGGGGGTTGGAAATTTGCTCTGGAGCCAGCTAATTTATAATGTCATCTGGGCTAGACTGGAAGACCCAAGAGGATAGGCTGTCTCTTGGCTTTTTATTTCATCTTTTTTTAAAAGGAAAAAGAAAACATCAAGTGCCACATCTGAGCATTCAGAGATGGACTCTGCCCCACTAGACCATCAGGGGACTGGGGCTGGTCCTTCTGCCCAAACCTCTTTCTTCCCAAAGACCTTGGCTCCACCACCATTCCCGTCCCGTCCTTTGTCACTCTGGATGCCTGCTCCCGCAGTTGCTGCCTTGTGGCTCTAGCTAATTTGCAGAGGACACCTGTTTCTTAATTAGCCCCAGCTCAAGGTCTGCGTCTTCATCTGGCTCCCTCTGATGCGTGAGCTTGCGGCCCATGGCAGGGCTGCTGTTGGGCGGTCTGCGCGTGTCGGCTGCCACTCAGTGGGCCCTGAGCTTCCCCAGTGGTGCCGCCAATCTGTGCTACTGAGCTTTAAAAGGAAAAGCAGCCACATCCCAGCCCCTGTCCATGGATTCCATAGCTGTTGGTCACATTTTCCAAAAGACCCTTTCGCTGCGAGTTCCCCTTCTGAGGACAGATCTGCGTCCCCAGGACCCGGCATGAGAACATAGATGGGGGTCGACTGTCGTTCACACTCCGCTAGGTTCTTACTCCCCACCACTTGATCTGCTCCTCACACACAGGTCCTCTTCTACCTTTTGTAGGGGCGTGTGCCTGGTTTCTACATGGGGACGCCCTCAGTGGCTAGGATTGCGTCGCAGGGTTTTACAAAATGGGGCTACTGTGTCCTGAGGTGCACTGAGGAGGAGGATGAAGTTGGACAAGGCCTCAGAATGAGGGTCCCCAAGGGTAGGACGGAGGCACCCTTGGGGATGGTTCTGTTTTCCTCTACCCTTATGTGGTGGAACCTTCTGAAAAATAATCCTAAGGCTCTAAGATGAGATCTGACCTCCCCTGTCAACCACCCTTAGAATTCTGACCCCACATCTGGAGAACTGTGTTTTCAGTGGGAGGCATCCCAGGTCAAAGGTGAGCCACCAAGCCCTGGGCACACCAGGACTCCAGTTTCCTGCAGATCACAGTTACGTGGAAACATTGTGGCAAGTGGCTCTGTATTTATTCTTCCACCTGATGTCCCCTTCTCATCCTTCAAGAGAGAAGTTCATCAGTGGAAAGTTCCCCTGAAGTGGTAATTTTCCTAAATGACTGGCTGATGGTGCTGCATACAGACTCGCAGGCCAGAGGTGGTGGCTGTGTGGGCATTAGTTTCCGTGTCCCAGCTCCTGTCCCTGGGCCTGAGAGCCCTTGCCTTTGCCAAGGGAGTCCCTTCTCTGCCTTCCCCGTCACCGCAGCCTCGTGGAAACACGTCTCCTTCCCCTCTCCTGAACGGAAGCAGCGCGGTTCTGAGGCTCCCAGCATAAAGCCTTCTCCAGTTCTCCCAGCCCTGGTGGCTGCCAGGGTGCCTTCACCCACCCAACTAATTAGAGCCTTTTCCTTTAAGGGGCACTTGAGTCCTTCAGCCGTTGTTCTCACAGCGATAATGGACTTGGATAAGAGGTCACAGCTTCTCCCACATCCTGCTCTCCTCATGGTGGGGGCGGGGTGGGCTCACCCCCCTTCTGTGGGGCTCCTGCCTGTCTGGCACGGGGACTGACCCCAGGCTGGGCAGCTGCCACAGATGCACCCCAATCACAAGACCACGAGCCGGCTCCCCACAGGGCCCCCTTCCCACCTTCGCTGGCTTCAGAGTCATCTGCCGCATCTCCAGTGAGTGTCATCAGCGCTAACGTGATCAAATGGCACAGTGTAAATGTTAATCAGGTCTGATGCCTCGCCGGCTTCCGAGTGGCAGATTGGAAATGGCACCATCATCTTAACTCCGAGGAGCAGCTTCTAATTCTTCTGCTCCCTGAGCATCCACTTTGGCAAGGAAAGCCTAAAGTGCCGCGGCCCTCCCAGTCTGCCATGCCATAGCCACACTACCCCGGTGGCTTTTGCAAAGAGGGTCCAAACTTCCCACAGAGTTTTCTAACACAGGGTTTATTTTATTTTGCTTTAAGTAAAAACACTTACCCTGATGTCCAAAGAGAAGATGACCAAGAGGACTGGTGCTCCAGGCCCCTCCCCTCCCCTCCCCCAGACTCCCTCCCTAATGCAGGACATGCTCCTGAGCAAGAAGCCCCGGCGGCCGCCAGCTCTCGTCCCCCAGCTTCCCCTTCCATTTGCCATGAAAACGTGGCTGATGGACAGCGTCCTGATTAATCCTCTTCTCCCAGCCCTTCAGAAGGGCTGTCCTCTCTACCGTGCTGTCTGCTGGAGCCTGCGTCCTTTCTTCCCAGTAACAGGGCATGTCTGGTGTTCCTTTTGATCCTGATCTTGCTGCCATCTCCTAGCGGATCTGCGCTTGTGGCCAGGGCAGTGCTATAATGTCACCTGGGCCTTGCTCAGCAAGTGCAGTAGTGTCTGAACATTATGAGTGAGCGGTGGCAGGGAGGCAGGGCTCTGGGCCTCCTGTCCCACCGCTGGCACTTGGCACTTGCCCACAGTGACACATTTGAACCCTGGGAGCCTCCACCAGTGCCGGGTGCCCTGGGGTGGGTGGGAGCCATCCCGTCCTCCACTTCTGCTGTCCCTCACTGCTCTTCCCCCACCCAGGCCGTCTTCACTCTCCTCCTGGGACCTTTCACCTTCTTTGACGTCCAGAAGACCAAGTACCTGCAGATCCTGACCTCGCTCATGAGATGGATCGGTGAGTCCGAGGAACCTCTCCGTTCTCTGCCCTCCTCCCCTTGTCCCTTCCTCCGCCTCTCCGGAGAAGCTGGGAAAGCTCCCAGCCGTGACTGGAACATGAAGGTGGCCTCCATTGACTCAGCCTGCCTGGTCCTCTGACCTTTCCAGAGGGCGAGGAGGAGGCTGGTGCCCTACCCGCCTTTCACTGGTGGGGAAATTTGGTACCAAAAAAAAAAGTGATTTTTTTTGAGGTCACATTGTGTGGCTGGATCTGGGCTAGGACCTGGACTGCGGACACATGGCCAGCCTCCTTCCCAGAATCATGTCGGGTCCCTGCTGACCCACAGGCTGGCGGCAGGGGGCTGCCGAAGGCCTGGCTCAGGCTGTGCCCATTGCAGAGGTCAGAGCAGCACCACCCTGCCTTCTGGTGGGTACCGCATGAGGCAGCCATAAACCCAGGGGGCCAAGGCAGCAGCACTGTGTGGCTCAGAGTCCTGGATCTCAGAGCATGAAATGGCACCCCGTCCACCATGGGTTCTAACCAGCTGACGCCTTTGAGTAAAAGCTGGAGCCCAGGGTCTCTTCCCCTCACCAGCGGGCAGTCGGGAGCTTGTTCACTTCCAACAGGCCTCCCACCCCCTCAGCAGATGCCGCTGCTAATGCAGCTGGGCTGAGAGCAGCTGTGGGGCTCCGGCTGCCCACCCCCAGCCTGTGCTCTGGGCATCCGCTGGACACTTGTTTTGCTTTATATAAAAGCAAAGATAAGCCAGGCACGGTGGCTTACGTACAACCCAGCACTCGGGAGGTTAAGGGAAGATGGTTTGAGACCAGCTTAGACGACAAAACCCCGTCTTGAAGAAGAAAGAAAAAAGAAAAAGGATAAAGGCATTAAAAAATGAAAAACAAAAGCAAAGAAGGCCATTGCTGTTCTGTTAGAGAGGTCTCGGGCCCGTGGGTCTGCCTGGTCCCCAAGGGCTGCCCTGCCCCTGGCATGGGGGGTTCCAGAGGGTCCCTCTGCCTGTCCTCCTTCCCCACTGTCTTTCCCAGCCCCTTTGCCTCCACATTTGCCCTTCCCCGCATCAGGACTCAGGTACAGGTCCCTTGTTCCATGCCAGGACCCAGGTGGATGGGCAGTGGTGCTCTGAGGAAGGGTATACCCAAACGACTTCCAGAAATTCTGGCCTCTGTGCTTCCCTCGTCCCCCCAACTCAGTGTGAGCAGCAAGCGCACAGGAGCCCTCATGCCCTCTTCTGGTCAGGCAGTCGTGCCCGCCCCTGGAGGGAGCCCATCGGGAGCAGGCAGCCTCCCAGGCCAGGAGTGTGACAGCAGAAGGCACCCGCTCTGCTAGGAGGGACCCATGGCAGTGCTGGAAGTTCTTCCTTGACTCTGCTCCAGCCTGCACCTTCTTTCCACTCTTGGTCTGTCCTTGTGAGGACGTGAGAGCAAGGCCAGGATCAATTCTGAGCCCTGCAGGAGCCGGCTGTTCAGGTGTGAGCCTTCAGCCTCTGGCGCCTTTCATCATCCAGCAAGGAATGAGGGGAGGGATTCCTGGTCTTCCCCTGTGAGATCTGGTTCATCCTCTCACCCTGGGGCTGCTGTCTCCAGTTTTGTCCCCAGGGTTAACATGACCACCTGAGTCATGACAGGAGACAAGAACTTGAATCACCAGGGTCACGGGAGCTCCTGGATAGACCACGTGGGGACACAGCCCCTGTGGGACTTGTAACCAGAGGTCAGGGTCAGCAGGGAGCAGAAACGCAGGCCACCCACCCTCCTCCTATTGCTCTGCCTCCCCAGTGAGCAGGATCTGGAGAAGGACTCTCCCTCCTCGCCTCCCCGGCCTATTCTGTGTCCCAGCTCATTAACTCCTGCAGCCAGTTCTGCAGCCCTGAAGTGACTCCTGCCCAGTGTGCTTGACTGTCCTCAGCCTGGGTGCTGGCCCAAAAGCTGAGCTTTGTTTTGTTTCTTTCCCTGTCCTGGGCACGAGCAAGGGGCAGAGGTACAGGGGATGCACATGCTTCCCCTGGTGTGATGGATCCCCCTGTCAGCCCACAGGGGACAGCCACCCGGATGATGATAGCTAACAGCTTCTGCAGCACCCCTGCATCTATCGAGTGCAACAAATTCCTCTCTGCGTCTGGGTAGCAATACATTCATCTAAAGAGAGGAGCTTGTGGTGGGCATGGTGGCGCACCCCTGTAATCCCAGCCACTGGGAGACTGGGGTCGGAGAATTGCAAGTTTGAGGCCAGCCTCCGCAATTTAGTGAGACCCTATCTCAAAGTAAAAATGATTTGGGTGTGGCTCAGTGCCAAGGGATTCTATCCCCAGTACCCAAGTAAATAAACAAGAGGCCCAACTCATACCAGATTGTGTCAGAGGAGCCACCAATCTCCTGTTGCCTGCAGGCCCACCATTCTCCCCTGCTCCCTTCCCATTCTCCCCTCCCCCAGGATCTAGCTCAGGAGTGGAATCAGCTCGGGCTTGAGAAAACCAACTGCTGTTACCCCAGTGGCGGGCTGCCCTGTCCTCTCATGGTGTCCACCAGGCACTGACTGCAGTGTCACCCTGGGCCCTCACTCCAAGGCTCTTCTGTGAAGAGGCCCCGCTCACCAGTCCTGGGTCTCCTGAAGCCCTGGAGGCAGCCCCTGCCATGCTGCAGAGCCAGCGGCAGACAGCAGCCCTGAGACCAGCATCCGAGTATGAGCAGGGACCAGCTTGTGAAGGTCACGGGCACTTGTCTTCTGGTGGTGACACAGCTGTCTTGACACGTTGTCTTTGCAGCCAATTGCCTCTTTTCTCCCTTTGATCTGAGAGATAATCAAGTGTCAGGAGTCTCGTGGGCAAGCCGCTGTGGGGGACAGCGCAGGCAGCCAGTTTTCTCCATGAGAGACTCAGACCCCTGGGCTTGAGAAGCAGACCTGTCACTGACACAGAGCATGTCCAGGAAGAGGCAGGTGCCCAGTGAAGTAAACTGAACCCTGGTGAGCCAGACTTTTGTCCCTGTGGGGTGGCAGTGCACCTGGACATTTTTCCTCTTGGCCTGGGAGCAGGTGATTTTCTCCTCCTGACCCCAGCTGCAGTATGCAGGGGAGGAGCAAGGGAACAGAGGCCACGGAATCCCCTGCAGCCACCAAGCAACACCACGTGGGCAGTCCTGTCAGGGGGAAGACCCTGCCTGCTAGACCTTCACAGGTCTGCTAGGAACAGGGGCTGGACCCTGCGGAGGGTGTCTGTCCTCTGGGCTAAGCTCACCCTGGCAGTCTTTCTAGAAGACCCTGCAGGCAGTGGTCTCTGAAGCCCCACTTGTCTTCTCAAGTCTCTGCCAAGCTGTCTGCCGAGGAGCTCCCTTTCTGTTTGCCTCTGAAAAGCAGCTGCATGGCCCATCCCCGGACACGACCCCCCCCCCATGCTCACCCCCACCCCCGTTGCACACTCCCCGCCTCTCCCCTCTCCCTAGATTAGGGACAGGCCTTTCCAAGAGCCGTGGGGAGCTTGGGGTGGCAATAAGCTGGCTTGGCTTCCAGGAGACCAAGGGGAGAATGGGTACCAGAGGGACCAGAAAGCCATGAGTGAATGTGCTGAGCCGGAAGCTTTCTCATGCTTAATTAGGAATTTGTTCTGCCATCTGTTGAAATGAGGCCAGGGGAGATCACAGGCCCTAGAGCTCTGCCGAGGAGCCGCCGGCCAATTCCTCCGAGGCCTTTGCCCTGCCCTTCCCAGAAGTCCTCTCGCTCTGCCAAAGTAGGACTTAAAGAGTTAAATGGCCTTTTGAAACAGCTGCTTGTCTAGGGGAAGTGAAAGAATATGGATGACAAGTGCCAAGGTCGGTTCATTCTTAATGTGCCAAAATTAAGTTCTGGGGACACCAGATTGGTCACTGTGGGATCCCTGGACTGCAAATACCTCTCAGTTCTCATGTGCAAGGAGGGTTTCTCTGTGCAGTCCCAGAAGTGAGACTTGTTCAGGCCTTAGGTGACCAGCCCCCTTGGTCCTGCAGTCTGCGCCCCACAGGCAGCCACTTCAGGTCGGCCAGGGTTCCTGAGCGCGGGGCCCAGCTCCGGGGGCTGGTTTGCTGTGAGTGCTGCACCTACAGTTGTCACACTGCAGGCCTCACCTGCTTCCCTTGGCGTGGGTCAGACAGTGTCTCTCCCACCACGCACAGCAGACCAAGCGCCCTCCGCCAGGCTCCACGTCGGGGCCGTGGGGGTGAGGACTCTCCCAATCAGCAGCTGTGAAGACAAGTGGGATTGTGTAGCAGGTACTCATTAGCCCCGTGGCTGGCACCTGGTCAACACACAGATGCAAGCCACAGTGACTAGCGTCACCCTTGTCATCTCAGCCAGCTTTCACACCTGAGAGTAGCCTCAGAGTTAATCCCCTCAGGGGCCAGTCATGGGTACAGGGACGAGACCTCAGCCTGGTCCAGAGAGAGCTGTAGTGCTTAGTGACCGAGCTGGGTGTCCACAGTGTAAGGCTTCTCCTCCCTGCACCCCAGCTGTGGTCCCCTGTGCAGTGGAGAGGAGGCCTTCCCTACACCCCAAACCTCCACGCCAGCACCCTCAGGGAAGCGCAGCCTGAGGGCAGGGAGAAGCAGGCCCTTCCCCTGCTGGGCGAGGGTTTCTCTCCAGCATCCAGCTCACCGTCAGCAGCAGGTGGACAGGGACCCTGGAGAGGGAGCCACAGCACCATGCTTTGTCCCCACAGGCCCAGGGACCATGACCTTAGGGCCGGAGCCTCCAGCAGCTCGACTCACACCTGTGGTGGCCCCGCCCTGCATGCCCAGTGCTGCCCAGCAGGGAGTTCTGGGGCTGGAAGGGGCCACTGTGGCATGATTATTTCAGTCCCCTGCCTGCTTCCCCAGGCAGACGCCTCCCACAGGGGGACACAAGCAGCTGGCTCAGCTCAGGGCGTCCCACTTGGCGTTATTAAAAGTCAGATTCTTTCTAATAAAGGCTCTTGCCCTGGAATGCCGCCGCCCTGCTCAGGCCTGGGCTGTCGAGGACCCGGGCCTCCCTCC